TTGTAGTGTGTCCATTCTCCTGCTTCTGTATCTAATACAAGCAAGGTCCAGTGGAATGACATGGGCTGGGTGCGCTACGCATCTGAATTCATGGGGAACACAAGGAATGGCCAAACCTACCCCATATTCAGATTGTTGTCTATCTTAACCTTCCGTGAGTGTTCTTGCCTCCCAACCGTTACGAATGTCTACATGTTAAACAATAGTAACTCATAATTTTTAGAGACTAATGAATGCAATATATAACAGTAACATTCATATTATTGTATTAACACATACATAACATTGTTACAATAGTTCCATTCATAGTAACACGCATGTTACTATATCTGGTTTAGTATAGTAACATGAATGTTACTATAGTCAGGTTACTAGTCAAGTACTCAAGCAATCAAGAATTCAATGTATGTTACACAATATCAACCAGCACAGACTGTTGGTCTCCATGTTACTATATTTAACACAAACACAACAGTGTTATAATAGATCCATTCATAGTAACATGAATGTTACTATATCTATATTACTATAGTAACATGCATGCTACTATATACATGTTACTCCAACAACCAAGAATTCAACATAGATTGCACAAACTCACCCAGCACAGACTGTTGAAAAAGAAACATTTGTAATTTTCTTCCTCCATCAGTATTTCTCCCCAACAGTCAATCATNTACTATATCTATATTACTATAGTAACATGCATGCTACTATATACATGTTACTCCAACAACCAAGAATTCAACATAGATTGCACAAACTCACCCAGCACAGACTGTTGAAAAAGAAACATTTGTAATTTTCTTCCTCCATCAGTATTTCTCCCCAACAATCAATCACCTGAGTAATAACACGACTTTGTTAAATAAAAAACATTCAAGTATTCCATAATTTGTTTAATTTTTCAAGACTCATGGTACATTACATTGTTGTGCAGCTCTCCCCACATCCATGAATTTCAATACATCATTAACTTTAATGATATTTTCATACTTTTTTCCACTCCATAAAGTTGCCCTTTTAATAAAAAACAGTACATGTTAATAAAAAATNGTTAAATAAAAAACATTCAAGTATTCCATAATTTGTTTAATTTTTCAAGACTCATGGTACATTACATTGTTGTGCAGCTCTCCCCCCATCCATGAATTTCAATACATCATTAACTTTAATGATATTTTCATACTTTTTTCCACTCCATAAAGTTGCCCTTTTAATAAAAAATAGTACATGTTAATAAAAAAGGGAACAAACAGTAAAATATATAAAATTTGTTTCAAAATGGGGCATTAAGTTACTTACTTTTTTCCCTCAGCCTTATGCATTTGAACCAATTTGTTGTACACATCCATTCCTAACTTCTTGCAGGCTTTCCATCTTCGAGCTTCAACTCACTTACTTTCTGGCTTCTCATTTGGCATTGTAATATCCAAATCATCAACATCAATACAACTATCTTGTATCTTCTCCTTCCCTTTATTTTTGTCGTCTTGAGCCTAGATTTCAACTTGTTCCAATCTTTTCTTTTCTCCTTTTTTTTTCTTACTATACTCAAAATCTTCATCTTTTTTTTTTCTTTTTTTCCATTTGATTTTTCTCTCCATTGATGTTTGTTCTACACCTTCGGTGGTCTGATGTTTTGGTGGAGTTTGGGGGTACTTTTGACTAATGTCATGCATAGCCATATCAGCGATAACATCATGCAGGAAATTGTTTTCTTCTTCTAATTCGGACACCCTTGATGTCAGTGTCTTAATTTGATCTTCTTGCATTTCTTTGTTTTTCTCCAAGAGATCAACTAAAACCTTCAATTATGAAATTTGGTTGTCTCTGTCAACAAGTTTCATCGCATATTCTTCAATCTCTTTCAAATCTTCCTCCCTTTGGTTTCCCCCAATATTCTTGATAACCGTTCGAAGTGCTTCGTCCTCCACAGTCAGCATTTGGATAGTAAATTTTTGCACATTATTCTCAACATTCAAACAAGACATACCTTCATTCTCATGGGAAGGTTGTTGTGACTTTTCCTTATGTGTTACCACTTCATCTGGTTCCATAAATGCAAATTCCCGAATGACCACATCAACAAATGCATTAAACGGTTGTACGTTTTGAGTCTCCTTTTGGACATGATCATCATTTGTAGGAACATGTACTTCATTATCACTTTCATGGACAAATTCATTATCCACAGTATGATCATCACCATCTAAATTAGGTTCATCACCTCTATATTCCAATTATGAATTTAAAGCACTCTTGCTGGCAACAGTGGTTTGTTGTGGAAGCTCAACACTATGCTGCACATTTTTTGAATTTTTTTGATTTCTTCTCATTAAGTTTTTCTCACCAACTGTTTTCTTTAGTTTTCTTCGGAAGACCTAACAACATCATTATTAACGTTAAAAATTTAAATCTGATGACTGTGAATTACACAATCATAGCCATAATAACATCCATTTGTATACAATAACATTCATTTTCCAGTTAATATCATCAATAGTAACATCATTTGAATATAGTAACATTGATCACAAATTTAACATTGTCATGCAATTAAGCAATTGTCAAAAATAATTTAAATACCTGATCAGCTGCTATATCAGACAGTATGTTTTGTGAGAGGGCTGCCCAAAGTTTTCTTAAGTCCCATTTCATCCATCGTGGGAATGCATCTGCCTTGTCTGCCACAATAAGAGACGTGTGTTCGCATATCCAGTACTGCAATTTAGACATAGTTACATTATATAGAACATATAGAGTTTAATGAAAAAATAAAAAAAAATCAAATAAATTATCAATCTAAAACTTACTGGTAATAGTAGTACACAACCGATTACTACACTCGGTGTTTCAAACTTCAACCGTATGGAATTCATCATTGCATCAATAGTTGCTCGACACCAGTTGTATTTTTTTATTTCATCTAGATTTTTTATGTATGACACATATCCCCATCCAATTGTTTGGCTCATATTTGTAATTAGTAGTGTCACTAAGACATACAAAGACAACAACCTAGAAAAATCTTCACAATTATCCTTACCAACACNGTTTGGCTCATATTTGTAATTAGTAGTGTCACTAAGACATACAAAGAGAACAACCTAGCAAAATCTTCACAATCATCCTTACCAACATCCGTTGCTGCCTCCTCCAGCCTGATTTTTATAATTGGTGCATTCAACCTTTTGGTGTTACTGAATCTCCTTCTAACAAATAGTGAATTTTTTTTTGCACTTTGGGGGGAAAGAATTGGATCGACACCATCTTCTATACAAAAAATTAGTGTTACATCGGTCTTCCGTATCTTCAGACCTTTTCCACCAATACGGAATCTTGGTGTTTCACCATCAAACATTGTAATTATGTCCACAATACTCTTGTCTTTCTTTTTGAACCATTCTTTATCCACTTCAGTTGTTGATATTGTGTTAAACAGATGCCAAAATGGTGTTCTCTTTTGTTGTTCTCTGTGATCATCTGTGATGATTAGGTCAGTTATAACCTTCAGCAATGGAAGCAAATTAGACCGGAATTGGTGAAATGCAGTTGCTTTTGGAGCAGTAGATTTACCTTTGTTAACCGNTTATCCACTTCAGTTGTTGATATTGTGTTAAACAGATGCCAAAATGATGTTCTCTTTTGTTGTTCTCTGTGATCATCTGTGATGATTAGGTCAGTTATAACCTTCACCAATGGAAGCAAATTAGACCGGAATTGGTGAAATGCAGTTGCTTTTGGAGCAGTAGATTTACCTTTGTTAACCGTCAACCTATAACATGACATTTGAATATTAATGGATGAACAACATATAATAACATTATATTTGTAACATGAGAATGAAGAATGATCATGTTACACAGTAACAAGATATTAGTAACATAGTCATAGTAACATTTTCTTAACTGCAATCCAATGAGAAAGAAAGCAGTTGAATTGAAGATTGCAAAATGAAGATTGCAATCATTTCAAATAGTAACATACAAGTAACATCAACTTTGGTTTATACACTATCAAATACAAAGATTGAGCTACNAATGAAGAATGATCATGTTACACAGTAACAAGATATTAGTAACATAGTCATAGTAACATTTTCTTAACTGCAATCCAATGAGAAAGAAAGCAGTTGAATTGAAGATTGCAAAATGAAGATTGCAATCATTTCAAATAGTAACATACAAGTAACATCAACTTTGGTTTATACACTATCAAATGCAAAGATTGAGCTACATATAATGTAACATAGAGCTTTAATTCTAAACAAAAAATCAAAAGATTGTGATCACTAACACATTCACAGTAACATCAATTCACAATAACATCGAAATTAACAACAATTTTTCCAACAAATATACTGAAACTACGATCAACACATTGCAATGAATATAAGTTTTGCACTAGTAATGCATCAAGTAGCTACCAGTGAGTAACACTTTTATTAGGGATATCAACCCATAACAATAACATCAAAACATTTGGAATTCTCAAACCCATATTGTTGCTCATACACAGTAACATGTATTTTCACAGCCACAAAATCAATTACTAATCTATTGTATGTAACAACAAAGAAATTAACAAAATAGAAATCAATACCATTTTTAATTCGTAATAATGAGTCACATTTTTTAATATAGGAATCTAAAACAAATAACATCAAATTTACTACAACTTCAATGTTTAATTTTTACTGTAAAATTAATTAATATTAAATTCACTTTAAAATCTTTGAACATCAAAGTTACTGTAAAATCAATGAGCATCAAAGTTTCTGTAAAATCAAAATTACTGTAAAATCTACATGCCAAAGACACATCTTGATATTGCTAATCCACCAGATACAAGTCTTTCTTTACTGCAGAAACAAGATCTCTTCAAGCCAATTCATAATCCTAAAAGCAACTAAACTTCCCAAAAATCCAAGATGTAATGTACCAAAAAATGAATCTCTATTGTAGCATAATGTAATGGGTTTTGAATTTTGAATATCAATGGAGTCAGTTGTGAATTTGAAACACCGATTACTTGATATTGGAGAAGGAAAACAATTGAAGTGGAAGAGAAACCGCCGGATTTGTAGCCGCTATCGAAGGGAACGATGTCTTTGTGTAACCATCTATGAAAAAGACGAAGAGTTGAACGACGTTAAGGGTTTTTTTAAGGGGTAGGGGTACAATGGTAAACATGGCAAAAAGTGGACTTAAAACCTTATAAGTTTCTTTGATGGACTTATCTCCAAATAAGTCCATCTAAGGGGACAGACCTCCAAATTTTCCTTATTTTTATCCTAGTATTAATCTCGGTTATTGAGATTTCATTGGACTGGTTAGGACTTTAAATTCAATTCAGTTCAGTTCATCCATGATTTGCCAAACACCCGCACTTTGGATATGTCAAAGGGGATGGGATTTTCGTTGTGATTCAAATACTTGTTTGTAGGTTTTGACTCAACCGGATAACTAGAACCCATGGGACGTGTGGAATTTAGAAGTAAGTTTGTAGAATTAGTTACGAAATTACTAAAACACGCACTGCCTGGTCCCAACTCTCATCTTAGAGTAATGAAAAACCAAGCACCCTTTCCCTAATCCCCAATGCTCAGATTCTTCACCCATTGAAAACTTCCTTTGATTCCCGAGTTTTTCAACACCTAGAAAGCCAAAATTTTTGGAGAGAGAGAGAGATGAAACGAGACCACCAAAATCTTTGCCAAGAAAATTTCCCTTGTGGTGTTAGCGCCACCAGCAACTCCTCCATAGGTGATGGCTCTAGTGGTGGCGCTGGTAACTTTTCGATGACTACAACCCACGAAAAATCAAAGATGTGGGATGAAACTGGGCAAGACGCTAGAGTTGATGAACTCTTGGCGATTTTTGGGTACAAAGTGGAGTCCTCAGACATGGCTGAAGTTGCTCAGAAGCTTAAGTAGCTTGAAGAATTGATGGTTAGTGTTCAAGAAGAAGGTCTATCTCATCTTGCTTCTGATACTGTTCATTACAACCCATCAAATATCTTTTCTCTTCTTGAATCGATGATTTCTGAGCTCAATCTACTGCACAATTTTGACTCATCTTTGGTGATGCAAGGCCCTTTTGCCTAAATCAGAATTCTTGCATAATAATAGTACAATTTATTGGGTAAAAAACATGGACACCCCTAAATTTTGGTAATATTATACGGACACCCCTGACATTTTACAAATAATACGGAGACTCTTGAAGTTTAAAAATCATTTCTTGGAGACCCCTCCATCTCCCTTTCATTAATATTGCTAACAGAAAGTTTTTCAAGTGATATAGTATGGTATGCATCCTTCAATCAAGCATCTCTTCAATGCACCAAAACAAATGTATAATCTCTTGAATTTGACTTACTACCTACCTATAGGTTTGGTTTTAATTATACAGGTGGTTTATGTGTTGGTTCTCCTCAATTCTTCACAATAATCCCATAGCAGAGCATATTGCTCATTATTAGTCCCACTGACATATGTCATTGCTTTAATTTTTCCCCTATACACCTGACTTCTATGCATATGTAGAACATTTTCCTTTTTTACTACTTCCTTAAGTGATTTCATTGGCTATGCTGGGTTTGATCTGATCTCTCAACATATGTACTAGCTAGCCACTTAGCATTTGCAATCTTCACCTTGACAGATCTATTGCAACTGTGACCTTTAATGTATGTTTTACTCTGCATTGTAATCTTTCCTTGCATACATGAAGCATAAATCATCCAATTACATCTTGGTTTACACACAACCTTTACTTTGTACTTCTTATTTTTGACAAATTTTAGTTGCTTACTCAATTTGATAGAATGTTGTCTAACAGCAGCTCTGAACTCACTTGTGTCTTTAAATAACATACCTAACTTAAATTGTGGATCACCTATGTCAGTCTTGGCATAAACACCGGATATTTTACCCTAAGTTCATCTTCATCTGATGATGAACTTGGAATACTTCTTAGCTCATCTGAATCATAATCTTCAACATAGTTCCCACAATTCCCACCCATTGTTGTATAACTCCTACCTTTCTCAACCCTTTTCCCTTTATTTCTTTCAGTACCATTCTCTTTTCTGTTTCATTCCTCAGTCCCACATCTTCATTTAACACTATATCATGCATTTACATTTCATCCCCATCATATTCACTGTCATATAAATACTCATCATCTGAAGTTGAACTTTCTAATTGTTCATTATACTGAGATGAGTCACAATTTAATGAATTATCAGAAGCCACAACAGTAGCATTTACATCAACCATATTCATACCATCACCCATATCATTTCCTCCATCACATTGTTGTGTTGTTGGACCACAATTTGACTCAGCTTGTCTCTGATCAAAGACTTCTCTAATGTGTTCAACATACGCATCATGGACTTTGTGCATGTTAACCCACTTGCCTATATCCAAAACATCCTGATCTTTGTCTAAAATCTTCAACTCAGTAGGAATTCTATGATGGAACCTCATAATTTGGCAGTACTCCACTCTTATATTTTTCAACATATTCACTAGTTCTACCAGAGAAAGCTGGTCTATGTGACACAAATCGATGTGATTCACCCTCCCTCCAATGTATACTATTTCATTTCCAGGTTGAAATTGGTCACCATGATGCATTCTTATTGTGAAAAAACCATCACCATCATTTGCAGCCAAATCCAAACAAAAGACAAGAGCTATATTTAAATAAGGAAAAAGTGTGACCCCAAAAAGAAAATAAACCAATTGTTAAGTACCCCACATCATTTACACAACAAAATTCACTAGCATGAATCAGATAACAACAAAATAGAAACAATATAATACAAAACACAAACCCAATTGTCCAATAAAAAAATAAACATTTATATAAACAAAGCATTTTCACATACACTCAAAGTTGAATAAAAAAATAGGTTTTAGCATAAACAAAACTACTTTTTGACCAAAAAATTATTCAATAATTTTCATACTTCATTGAATACATGCAACACGAAAGTTCGTCATTCACACACTTAAACTGCACAATAAATCTCATACGATAATTTGGTGTTTCTTGTCTAGAATCAAAACTGTTCTCTTCCCTTACCACCCAAGACATTTTTCCAACCTTCAAGCTTTAAGCCGCGATCTGTAATAGCAATGAAGACCTTTCTGGAGGAAGAATTGGCTCCCCTCTTCAACAAAGCCCTTTTGATCAAACAATCACAATGGTTTTTGGGTTATAGGGATGGTGGGTCTGTGGTGTTTTTACAAGAAAACCCTTTTGGGAATCACGTGTGTCTCACGTGATTCTTGGGTTAATAGAAATTTGGACGTCCGTCAGGTCTGGGGCCAGAGTGTCACCAAATAATAATATTGAGGGTGCAATTTGGAACAATTGATCTTTCATGGTGTAAATTAAATTTTTTTTAATCTTTCAAGGGGCAAAGTGTCATTTGCCCTTAATATTGTAATGGTCTAATTGTTGAACCAGCCCGGTTTAGTGTCTAGGTCACTAGCTTTTCGAATTTTGGGTCAATCGGTTGGATTGGGTTTTAAAACATTGTTTTGGAGCGACGAAGAAGAGTTTGAGAATGCAAAGAGAGAGGTGATCAAGAGAGGGAAGTCTAATAATAGGGCAAAAAAGCCACAAAATGGTCTTATTTTATGGAGTGTTTTTTACCCTTGTAGACCCTGTCTAAACGATGTTATTAAAACCGTCTGGTTCAACGAATTTCAACGGGCCTGATGCTTGGATGATCCAACCCAGCCTGGTTTAAGTTCCAGTTTGTCGATATTCCGAGATGACCCACCTAGTCGGGCCAAGTTTGACCCCTAAATTTTGGCTCCTAAATTATAGACTCAACCTCACTTTGCCCTTTAAATTTTGAAATTTTCACATTACCACCCCACTAATTGAATTTTTTCACAATGATATAATCACAAACTTTTTGCTATTTTTTTTTATAGAAATTGCCAACATGTTTGGATAAAATGAAAAAAAAATACATAGTTTAGGGATAAAGTAAATAATTTTCCACTAAATATGTATCAAACGTTAATAATAGAGATGTTATTGCCCAATAAAAGATTACCTATTGATGCCTTACTATCACTACGATGATGGTCTTAAATTTTAGATTTTATCGCCCAGAGATGGTGCTCTAGTATCCGGAGTGGTTTCCGATGTAGTAACTCATGGGTTATATCCCTTACACAAACATATACATGTGATAAATGCATCAAAAGGCAGACCATCAGTCATCAGTCACTCTAGCCTTATCATAAACTCGATTTTGTGCAAAATGAAGTTAGGCTCGATTTTGGAGTGGAAGTGTACGATTAGGGGTAGGCTCCGACTTCGAACTATTATGATTCCGTCTTCGACTCCATCTCGTTAGAGGTGGAGCAGAGTATCAGAATTGGGCTGAATTTGGGCTAATTTTTGATTGGGTTTTCTATTGTTTTTTCTTACTTTTGGTGGGATTTGGGCCAATTTTGAATGGGATTTTGGCCATTTTTTTTTGGCATTTAGGCTAGTTTCTAAATTATATAATAGGGGTTTGGGCCAAATTTTAAATAGGGATTTTAAATTTTTGTATAATAATATATTATATGATTTATAATTTATATAGATTATTTATTAATTAAAATTGGAGTCAAAGTTTTTTTGGAAAAAATATTTTAGATTTTGATTTTGATGGAGACGGAATTGGAGTCGGTGTTCAATTTTTGAATTCTTGCATACCCATATGTGTTAGATATAATGAAGAAAAATCAAGTCTTAAAGCTTTGAGTTTGATTTTCTGTGCGGGAGCTGGAACTATGTGGAGGTCACCTGAGCAGTCACTAAAGCTGTCTTGCACAACTACCCATTCCATACACCATCACTCCTTTGGACCACTACTCCTCTTCCAATCAACTCCATGAGCCTCAGAAACGTGCATGATTGTATGTACATGATTAGATACAACTAAATGCACATGCATGGATGAAATTAAGATTTATATACAATGCAATTTTTATATTTAAAGAAAAATGCACAAAGCCATTAATTATGAAAATCATACTTATTCATTAAATAACATATCAATCCTTATTTTATCATTTCCATGCATTACTCTAAGGCATATTAATGAATATAGAACTTAATTTTCATACATCATTGGAGCAATTTCCTTTTACTTTGTACGATATCACTTACACTTGTTCAAATTTTATCTATCTTTGATCAACTCATNTTTGGCTCCTAAATTATAGACTCAACCTCACTTTGCCCTTTAAATTTTGAAATTTTCACATTACCACCCCACTAATTGAATTTTTTCACAATGATATAATCGCAAACTTTTTGCTATTTTTTTTTATAGAAATTGCCAACATGTTTGGATAAAATGAAAAAAAAATACATAGTTTAGGGATAAAGTAAATAATTTTCCACTAAATATGTATCAAACGTTAATAATAGAGATGTTATTGCCCAATAAAAGATTACCTATTGATGCCTTACTGTCACTACGATGATGGTCTTAAATTTTAGATTTTATCGCCCAGAGATGGTGCTCTAGTATCCGGAGTGGTTTCCGATGTAGTAACTCATGGGTTATATCCCTTACACAAACATATACATGTGATAAATGCATCAAAAGGCAGACCATCAGTCATCAGTCACTCTAGCCTTATCATAAACTCGATTTTGTGCAAAATGAAGTTAGGCTCGATTTTGGAGTGGAAGTGTACGATTAGGGGTAGGCTCCGACTTCGAACTATTATGATTCCGTCTTCGACTCCATCTCGTTAGAGGTGGAGCAGAGTATCAGAATTGGGCTGAATTTGGGCTAATTTTTGATTGGGTTTTCTATTGTTTTTTTCTTACTTTTGGTGGGATTTGGGCCAATTTTGAATGGGATTTTGGCCATTTTTTTTGGCATTTAGGCTAGTTTCTAAATTATATAATAGGGGTTTGGGCCAAATTTTAAATAGGGATTTTAAATTTTTGTATAATAATATATTATATGATTTATAATTTATATAGATTATTTATTAATTAAAATTGGAGTCAAAGTTTTTTCGAAAAAAATGTTTTAGATTTTGATTTTGATGGAGGCGGAATTGGAGTCGGTGTTCGATTTTTGAATTCTTGCATACCCATATGTGTTAGATATAATGAAGAAAAATCAAGTCTTAAAGCTTTGAGTTTGATTTTCTGTGCGGGAGCTGGAACTATGTGGAGGTCACCTGAGCAGTCACTAAAGCTGTCTTGCACAACTACCCATTCCATACACCATCACTCCTTTGGACCACTACTCCTCTTCCAATCAACTCCATGAGCCTCAGAAATGTGCATGATTGTATGTACATGATTAGATACAACTAAATGCACATGCATGGATGAAATTAAGATTTATATACAATGCAATTTTTATATTTAAAGAAAAATGCACAAAGCCATTAATTATGAAAATCATACTTATTCATTAAATAACATATCAATCCTTATTTTATCATTTCCATGCATTACTCTAAGGCATATTAATGAATATAGAACTTAATTTTCATACATCATTGGAGCAATTTCCTTTTACTTTGTACGATATCACTTACACTTGTTCAAATTTTATCTATCTTTGATCAACTCATATGTAACATCTGTGAAACCAAACTTCGACAAAATTACAAATTTGTGTAGATCAAATCATTGATAAAGTCCTACATAAATTCCTAATGTATCGTCTAAGTGAGTGCATAACTAATTAATGAGTGTCTTACATGAATTTTTCTTTATCTCTTCTTTTTTGGCGCTCTCTATCTCTCTCTTTTTACATCCATTCTACTTTTAATGGTCTTAATACATGTGAGTTTTTACAAGAATTATGTCATACTCTCAACAATTCAAATGTTATTAACACTAGCAATTATGTTTATGCCTCAACTTTTTATATTTGGTCACATTAGGCTATTTTCTCATAGTTGGTTCCTTGACATCTTTTAAGGGATTAGGGGTTTATTAACCTTTAGTTATGTGTTCACTTATCAATGAAAGTGGTTGGTTAGGTGTGCACTTAGTTGTATAAATTTTTACAAAAACTAACGTCATTCAAGCACGCCAGAGTGAAAGTGACTTGATTAAGCACTAAGGCTATAACCATTAAGTTCTCTATCCTCCAATTAGTAATGCACTTCAACTTTGATTTAATGATGAAAAAACTATAATCCGAATCAAAGTGTGATTATCATAATTAACAACAAAAAATCTTTTTGCTTTTACCTTTTATAATATTTTGTACTAGCAATTACCCGTGTCTAAAGACACTAAATAAAAAACAAAACAAATTGCAAATAATTGTTAATGTGCTTATGAAGCATGTACGACAACAAATAAGTTACCTTTCAGTGAGATGCTACCCTCCATGGCAGAAAAATATCAAAATTTTTTGGGAGGGAAGAAGGGAGAAAAAAATCAGTGAGATCAATTCTTTTATCAGTTTCTTGATTTGTTGAAATGAAAATCTACAAAAATTGAGTAATAATGATGGAATTATCAATTAGCAAATCAAAAAGCTCAATTTCGCTCTTGGATGGCTACTCTCAATGTCAAATTTAAGAAATTCTAATTCATAATCGACCAATCCACCAATTTCACGTTGCAAGGATTTTGCTTCATTCTTGATGTTTGCTTTGAATGCATCAAAGGAACAAAATAGCAAATCAAACGATCATCACAAAGAGATGGCAAGAAAAACAAAAAAAAAAACATGCATGGGGCTGCAAATTTCGATAAG